AATTTGTCTTTTCAAATTAGATTTCACTAAGTCGAATGATATTTCGATTTCAAGCATTTTAACGGCATGTTCTTGATGAATATAATATGCACATTATCGGTATAATATCTCCTACAAGAACAAAGTAGAATTAGATTGGTTACCTTGGTGGATTTTTTGTTATCCAATTTCTAAGTGTTAAGTATCTGTCCATAGAAAAATCCTCCAAAGGATTATTTGTTGATGGTGTTGAAGATTGTACCTTTTTCCCTTGCTCTTTTTCTTTTTTTATCTGTTGTGTAATGTCTTCAATTGGTTGAGACGTTGATGTATGTTGCTCAGTAGGACTTATATGGATATAAGCATCTTGATGGAGGGTACTTATGGTGGCTCCCACATTTGATTCCCAATTTGATAATCTATTGAGTATACTGTCATGTTGTTCGGCAATTTGAAGTCGTAGTGAACTCAAACTATTATCTACATAATTCTGCATGCTAGAATGTAGGCCTTGGTAGTAGTTTTCTTGCCATTGTTGTTGTTGTTGGAAGAATTGATTTTGATTGTCAAGAAGAGTTTGGGAAGTTGAATTATTTGCAGGATGTGCTCTAGATTGTATGTCTTCATACTGGTTGTGCTGCCACTTTTGATGTTGTTCAAATAATTCTTCTCAGCGTTGGAGAATTGTTTCGTACTGGCGCTCTTGTTTATTTGATTGTTCAATCATGGTTGTTTTTAGGTTGTTGCACAAACCAGATACATCTGAGATAATGGATGTCTTCAAATCCCCACAAATTCCACATACATCTGATACAATATGTTGCTTATATATATTCAGCATTTGCTCCATATCTTCTCTAGTCATGTAATTGGAGCTAATAGGGGTAGAACTTGAGGCAGTTGGAACTGAAGTATCATGAGTAGTTCGTATGTTATCAGTATGTGGGATTTCTTGTGGTACATTCTCCAATTCTCCATTAATAATGGCGTCGAGTATCTCATGTTGGTTGTCTTGTGGCAGTAAGAGAGTTGTGTACCATATTGTTTGTAATTCTTGTTCTGTAGGCTGTAATAATGGAAGTACTTGAATCTGCAATTTATAATAAAATATTGGAATGAGTTTTGAATTTTATTTAGGGAAGAAAAAAAATAACTTCAATTTATACTGTTACGTAATAAATCATGTAATAGAATAACTGAAATACCTCTTGTATACACATGAATTGTTTAACTGTATTCTCTGCCAATATTTTATTTGGTGCCCATTTGTGCATTCGTGGTATTTGGTATCCTTTGTTTTTACGTTGGCCAAATTTTCGTCCAATTTTCGGGAATGCTTTGTATATCCAGTACTGATATTATTGG